TTGCGCCACCCGGGAGGCCCTATTCCTGGATATTCTTGCACCAAAAAGCTAAGAATAGTTCCAAGAATGATAGGGATGTGTGACAAAGACACAAAAGCCAGCTTATAGCGCCTAATCTGGGACTATTTGAGTATCAAAATAAATAATGATAGTAACAGATGACTAACCACCAAAGAACACAGGAAACCACTAGTTCATACAGATATAAATTAATAAATGAACAAGTTGAAAGTATGAGAAGGAAGAGAACAGCTACCTAATATCAGAGTACTTCACAAAAGTATTAATTGCAAAGGAAAAAGAGTGACTTTATAGTGGAGAAGTCTTCGAGACATCACGTCGTTCAAATGGCCATCATCAGTTCAGAGACACATTAAAGCCATGTGCTTCTCTGATAATCTTGTCAAAAATGTATAATCTGAATGTGAGAATGAAGAAATATTGAACTGCAGTTTGGGGCCACAAATGTACTGACAATTGACTTGGAAACTTCAAAACTTCAAAAAAAAAAAAAAAAAGGAAACCTGAGAGCAGTTACAACTTGATGAAGATTAAAGAAATTTGATAAGTAATGCAAATATACTTTTGAACTGGAGCTTTTATTAGAAAGATAATTATTGGGATGATGGCTAAACCTCGAATGGTCCCTGAGGATTAGATGGTTATAATGCATAAAAAATTAAGCTCTTAATTTTGATGGTTACATGGGAGAATGTCCTTGTTTGTATGAAATGCTAAATGATTAAGGAGCGATGGGGCATGAGGTTGGCAACTTGTTCTAAAATGGTGAAGGAAAAAAATGTACTATACTTATAACTTTTGTGATTGTACCAATTAAAGTAACTATTAAAATTAAGATCACACACAAAAGATAATACCAAGTGTTAGAGAGAAGGCTGAACAGCTGTCCCCAATGATGGGTGGTTAACTGGTACAACTACTTTGGAAAATCGTGTCAGTTTCTTATAGAGTTAAAGTGACACGTATCCTATAATCCAGTAATTCTACCTCTAGGACTATCCACAAAAGGGCTTGTACCAGAATGTTCTTAGCAGATTTATTTGACATAGCTCCAAATTGGAAAGAAAGCAAATGCTCATCAATAAGTGATTGGACAAATGAATTGTGTTTTATCCACATTTTGATCATAGGTAGGAAAAACTGCTAATATACAGAACAACATGGATAAATCTCAAAAGAATTCTGTAGAGTAAAAGAAGCCTGTCATAGATGCATTTGTATTTATGATTTCATTGATATGAAGTTCAAAAACTGTTCAAATTAATCTATAGAGACTGAAATTAAAATAGTTCCTTCTGGGGAAATGAATGTTAACTGGTAAGGGGCAAGAGGAAACTTTCTGGGTGCAGGAATGTTTCTATCTTTATTGAATGGTGGTTATATGAGTGTATATTTTGTCAAAAATCACCACATGGTACTCTTAAAATCTATGCATATTACTTTTGTAAACTACACCTCAATTTAAAAAGCTAAATAATTCATGTACTCATCAGCAGTGATAATCTCTACAGGGGATTCTTTCACTTTCTCTGTCTTTCTGAGGTATTTGAACTTTTTTCAACAAGCATGTCTTTATTAAAAATAGTCACATTTAGGATCTAAAAATTTAATTCCATAAAGATAGGATTTATCTAAAAGGTGCTCAAGCAACTGGTTATTTTGAGGGAAAATTAAGTTAGATCTTCTCTTATATATCCTCCCAAATGTTAAGGTTAGAGTTACTGCATAAAAACAAGTCATAAGTTAACATAAGTAAGAGAAAATAGATGTCACTATTTATCTGATTGCTGATTGGCAAATAAACCTCTTAATATTAAAAGCAATTTCAGGAACTCCAAAGAAACAGGTTTTTGCTACATAAAAATATTTAGATATGTAATAAAATGTAAGTATAATCAATGCAACAGAAAGGTGGGAGAATTTATAAAAACATAGTATTTCACAAATTTACATGTAAGATATGTGAGTTCTAGACAGGCAGAAAGGGTGGAGGGAGGGAAAGAGCAGGAAAGAAAAAAGAGGGAAGGAAGTAAAAAAGGAAAAGAAAGATGCGGGAGTAGGGAAGTTAGGAAGGGAGAGGAGAACCCAAATGGCTAATCCACAAATGAATAAGAAGCAAAACTCAAGGTCAACCCATCAAATAGCAAACTCCTTTCTTGCATTATAGTATTTGATGGCAGTCACAGGGTGGCAAGAGTAATTCTGGTAACTACAGGTAGAAGTGTAAATCGCTCTATTTCTAGAAACCAATCAAACAATGTGTAGCAGTAATCTTTAATAATATTTATTTTCTTTGAATCAGAAACATCACTTTTGGGAATCTATCTAAAGGAACTAATATTAAAAAAACAAAGTCGCTCTTTTCAGGATTACTCGGAATAGCCAAAATAATAAAAATAATCGAATGCCAACATGACGCGAGTCCTAAATCATGAGGCGTCTGTTTGACAGACATTATGAAATGGTGTTTACTCGAGCTTCCCACGATACTTTCTTGGTTCTTTCTTTTCAATCTTCGTGCAATGTTAATGAAAAATTCAGGACAGCAAGACAGGATTTCCGTTTGCTCCAAACAAATGCCCCATTGTCGAAAAAACAGCCTCTAGACACACCACAGCCTCTCTCTCCGCCCCCTCCCCCGCTTATTTTAAATATAATAAACGATAAGTGGTACCTCTGCCCTCACATACGTGTGTCTTATTCAGGAACACACGAGTCACTCTGGTCTTCTGGGCGTGAGGGTCTCATTGCACACCGGGGCTGCCGCCACGTCGGAGCTCGAGAGGGGCTCAGCGAGGCGAGCAGCAGGCGCCGGGACTTGCAGCCCGAAGCGGGGGCTCCTCGGAGCTGGCGGGGAAGCCGCGGGCACTCACATCTGATCAGCATCTGGCTGTCACCACCTCCGGGGAATAAAAGATCCCGGCTCCCTTCTGTCTCCAAATTTCCCCCACATTCCTATCTGCCAACGCCAACCCAGGAGGGGGCGTGCTGGGAGATGTAGTTCCCCGGGCGCTGCACCGCGGAGGAGGGGCGGCAGGGCGGCTGAGCCCAGAGCCGTCTCTCCAGCCCTGCCACGTCTGTCTGAGCATCAGCCCCATGTCTACATGGCCGTGTCAGGCAGATAGCAGGAGGCGCAGATGTCAGGGTTGAATAGAAATATAATCTGCATCACAGATCGCAGAGGTCGTATTATGCAGCTTACTATTCACATAGTTTATTTTAAAGACAATTACTGAATGGCTTCGCTATCAGGAGGGATACAGAAAAACTAAACAAAGGGTCAGACTAAACTAAAAACTCTTGACATTTGATTGCAAACCTGAGGCAACCAGAAGGGGAGCGGGAAGATGGGGGCAGGGGTCCAGGGGCCACCGTGGAGGATTGTTGGGGCTCTGGTGGTGGGTGTGGTGTGAAAACATACATTTGTAGAGGTTTGAGCCTATATATCCCCTAAAACAAATCTAATGATGTAAACCATTTTTTTTTAAAAAAAACTAAGAACTATACCAGCATTAGAAGATACAATAATTCATTTTTCACATGTGGCAATGCCAAGCTTATTTTATTACGTCTGTGCAAAACAAAACACAGAACTAAATCATTTAAACCAAGTTTTACAACCTTTTAAAGATAGTTTAGGAAATGAAAACATTTGAAATTTCATACCTCGATAGGACAGTACAATGATGCAGTGCTGTGGCAAAGATTCTGCCAGGTCCCCCAAAAATTGAGCAGTTACCTAATGACCCAGAAATTCCACTACTAGGCACAAACTCCCCAAAACATAAACATATGTTCGCAGAAAGTGTGTCCACCGATGTTTATAATAGCAAATTATTCTTCATAGTCAAAACATGGAAGCAACTCAAATAGCTGCCACTGCCTAAGGAATGAATAAACAATGTGGTATATCCATACAACAGAATATTATTTGACCTTTAAAAAGAAATGTGTACCTACACATTTTATAACATGGATGAAGCTAAAAATATCATGCTAAATGAAAGCCATAACGCTAACATAATTTATGATTTCATTTATACAAAATGTCCAGAATAGGCAAATGTGTAAGTAGATTTGTGGTTGCCAGAGTGAGTAAAAAGCAACCGGGGAGTGATGAAGATGTTCTAAAGTTAGAACATCTATGGTGACGGTCACACAACTGGACTCACTACAAGTCATTGGATTGTACACTTTTTAAAAATTGTAGTTAAATATACATAATATGAAAGTTATCGTTTTAATGATTTTCAAGTGTATGATTCAGTGACAGTAAGTACATTTACATTGTTATGCTACCGTCAACACCATCCATCTCCAAAACTGTTTTCATTTTGCAAAGCTGATGCTCCATATCCACTGAATAGTACGCTCCAGCCCGTATTCCCCATCTCCCCTGGCAACCACCATTTTACTTTCTGTGTCTGTGAATTTGACAACTCTAGATACCTCATAGCGTGAACTCACACTGTATTTATTGTTTTGTGACTCACTTATTTCACATACTTAGGATAATGGCTTTCAGTTTCATCCTTGCTGGAGCATTCATCAGATTGTCCTGTGTTTTTAGAGCAAGATAATATTTCATTGCACATACATACCGCATTTTGTTTATCCATCCATCTGTTGATAAACACTTAGGTTTCTTCCATCTTTTAGCTATTGTGAATACTGCTGCTTTGATCTTAGGCATTTAAATATCTTTTCAAGACACTGCTTGCCATATTTTTGGGTGTATACCAAGGAGTGGAATTATTGGATCATATAGAAGTTCTATTTTTAATTTTTTGAGTAACCGCTATACTGTCTTCCATGGTGCCTGCATCATATTTCATTCCCACCGTAATCCAAAGGGTTCCAGTTCTCCACAATTTCACCTCTACTCTCTTTATTTTTGTTTAAAAACAAATGTTTATGAATGTCATTTAATGGGGTCAAGTGGTATCTCATGGGGTTTTTTTGTTGTGCTTTTTGTGTGCATTTTTTTTTAACTCTTTGTGAATTTGTGTGTCATCCCTGTGTGGGGACCATACTAATTTTCTTTGTACTGCTCCACTTTTAGTACATGTGCTGTCAAAAAGCACTCACGGTAGCTTTGATTGCATTTTGAATTGCTTACTTTTAAGGGGTACATTTTCTGCTCTGTGAATTGTATCTCAATTTACAAAGTATTTATTAAGAGACTCTAGTAGCATGGAACACACCTATTCTCCATATTTTGGCATCTAAATGGACCGTTCTTCACTAAAAGGGGCCCCATTTGAGGCAAAGAAAGTACAAGGTGAGTCTGAAATATTTCATTTTTCCAGAAAGCAATAAAATGCTTGAAGAATGATGGGACCTGTCTGAAGGACACTGGAAAAATTTGGGACAATTTGAGCATCAAAATGAATAATGTCTGTAATTGCTTGTAACATACTGCATAAGTAATAATCCATGAATTCATAGTAATAAAAAGGAGAGAAAAAGAAGAGTGATTCTTTATAGAAGACTGCTAGGTAATAGATGCAAAAGGAATTATAGAATTCAAAAATTACCATTTTGTAACTCCTAATAAAATAATTGAGTCAGGTAGGTAATGGTGATATCTATTACCAATTACTTAATGGTTATAGCTATTAAGATAACAATTATTGGGTAAACAAATATTCACATGGTATCACCCTCCAGATTACTTATTTATTGCAAATGGAAACATGCCTTTGTAATTGAGAAATCTGGCAATCATCACTTTAACCAAGTGATCAAATTCAACATCATGAAGTACAGATAAACTTGATCTGGGGTTCCCTGGTGGTGCAAGGAGTTAAGACACAACCTGTGAAGTTATCTGCAGCCACTGCAGCACGAGTTCGATCCCTGGTCAGGGAGATACCCACATGGCGCAGCAGACCTCTCCTGACTCGCCCACTGATCCCTTCAGCAATGTATTTCAGTCTATCTGTCTGTTCTGTTCCCCACTCTGTCTCTGGTGAATCCTCTCACTCCCCCCCCACACCTCTGGCCTGTACCCCAGTTCTTGTATGAATAAATAAATAAATCGTTAAAAAAAAACTTGATCTGAGATCTTAATATGGTATGATATTAAGTATACAACATCAATTATTAAGTAACTTTACTCAAGTGTGTAGCCCGAACGTAATCAAGATTTGCTAGCCTTGATCTCCATTTTCCAGAATTCAGAGGATAGTGGTCAATTTAAAGGACAACATATTGGATATTCTACAAGGCAATTGACCTGGAATCTTCAAAAAAATCAGTGCCACAAGAAAAGAAGCAGTAGCAAGGGAAGTACTGTAGATTGAAAGACACTTGGAGGCCTAATTAAACAAGGGAACAAAGCACCTGTTTAGTAAGGACCTACTCCTGGCTGGGCTTACATGTTTTAAAATTGAAGCTAAATTGAGGCAGGCAGATTATTTGTCATGTGTCAGTAATCTAAATTATTTATTGTTAAAACTTTTTAATGAATGGACAGTTTTATCACAAATCTCTTTTGTATTCTCTCCCCTACGGGAAAAGAAGTCATAATCATATAAATGATTGTCCTTAAGAGCAGATACTATAACATGTGCTTCAAGATATGCCTATGATTTATCAGTAAATCACACCAATCAGCCTGGAAGAAAATAGAAATATATGGGACAATTTTTCCATCAGGCATGTCTAACCTCTTTACCTGTTAATGTCATTTACTGTAGTATGGGCCCCTCCATGATGCACTATTTCTACACCAAATGAAGCTTTATTTTTTCTTTTAAAGATTTATTTTTATTTATGCATCCAAGAACTGGGGTATAGGCCAGAGGTATGGGGGGGTGAGATGATTCACCAGAGACAGAGTGGGGAGCAGAACAGGAGAATCTACAGAAATACACTGCTGAGGGGAGCAGCGGGGAGGCAGAAGAGGTCTGCTGCGCCATGTGGGTCACCTCCCTGGCCCTGGCAGAGAATAGAACTTGTGCTTCAGTGGCTGAAGATAGCTTGATAGTGCTGAGACTTAACCCCTTGTGCTACCAGGGAGGCCCAAATGCAGCTTTAAAAATAGCGTGGTCCAGTAGAAACATAATGTGAGCCACAAGTGTGAATCGATATGTAATTTTATATTTTCTAATAGCCATGTTAGCAGAGTAAAAAGAAACAGCAAAATTAATTTTATTAATATACTTTAACCTAGTGTATTCAAAACATTATCACTTCAATAAGCAATGAATATAAAATTATGAGAGATATTTTATAACCATTTATTTTACTTAGTCATTGAAATCCAATATATAATTCATACTTTAAGCACATTTCAACTTGAACTGACCATACTTCACATACTCAACAACTGGACAGCACAGGTGTAGACTATAAATACTGAATCTAAATGGAATTGGTTTCAAATGTTACAGAGGAGCAGTATCAAATACAAAATTTTCAAAAGTGAATTTTCTTAATACATAATTTTGATTTGCTTTTGCACTGGAATTCTTTTTTGCAGGGGAGAAATATAAGCTGAAAAATTCTGTTGACCTATGAAGTGACTAACCTTGAAGTTGGGATAAATGAATGAAGCTAATAGTTGGGGGGAGGAGAATAGCCTCCATTTTATACATACGCAATTCAAAATCATTAAATTCTGTGTTAGCAGTTTGCTATGAGTGTCCTAATGCAAGGGACACCAAGTGCTGCCAATTATCCCTTGAAACTAGCTTTAGCCTTTTCTCTTGTAAATTTCTACTGCCCAGACCTGTACCTGAGTTCTTTTGCACTGGTGCCCAGGCTGATAGTTTTCTTACCTTCTGAAGTTGCCTGAGCCCTTCCCCACAAACACCAAACTGTCCTCTTTTTCCACGTCTTTGAGGCATAAAATGTCCTGTAGGTACAGCCCTGCAGGTACACCTCGAAGTGCCCAGTCACTCTGCATGGAAGATCTCTGTTAGCTGGCCTGACCATGACTTTCCACCTTGAATGACCTCTGCCCTCCCTTGGCAACCCAGGCTCAGCCCTGATTCTGCCCTTTCTGTCACGTCACTTTTGTCTGCTAAGATATTTTCCCTTCCCCCTGTTTGGCTAGTTTAAATCCCATCCCTTTCCCTACCTGGTGTGAATTTCATTTCTTTAACTAACCCTGTCGGCTACCTGCTTTTGCCTCCTTCTGTCCACATTGGGCCCCTGATGTCCACCACCATTCTCCGTCTTGTGAAATATGGTCCACTTTTGTGTTGATTTTGTATCCTGAACTCTTACTGAGGTATTGTATCTTAGGCTGTTTCGCTGTAAATTTACTCCTTTTTGACTTAAAAAAAATTGCATGTAGTATCAGCAAAGGTTCAGGATACAAAATCAATGCATAAAACAACTTGTAAGTTCTGTGGTATGGGGAGCTTGTTCTGTTTTTTGTAGACCCCTACAAATTTTTCACACAAACGATCATCTGATCTGGTTATAAGACAATTTTATTTCTCCTTTCTAATTTGTATGCATTTTATTTCATTTTCTTCACTAACTGCTCTGGCTGGGATTTCATTCATTCCATTGAATGAGTAGTGAAAAATGAACATTCTTGTTGATCCTGGTAGTAAGGAAAAAACATTTCGTCTTTCACCATTAAATGTGATGTTACTTGTAGGATTTTTTTTTTAATGTAGATGCTCTTTTTAAATAGAGAAAGTTCCCCTCTTTTATTAGCTTGGAAAGAGTTTTATTTATTTTTAATCATGAACAGGTGTTGAATATTGTCAAATGCTTTTTTCTGACTGATTGATAAGATCATATGATGCTTTATTATCATAATATAGGGGATAACAATGATTGTTTTTTGGATCTTAAACAAGATTTGCTTCTCTGAAACAAAACCTTCTCTATTGTGGTATTTATTTTCTTTCTATATATCGATGAATTTCACTTTCTAATATTTTGTAGAGGGTTTTCACTTTTATACTCATGGAGAATATTGATCTCTCTATTTTTTTGTACTTTCTTTGTCTGGTTTTGGCATCCAAGTAATTCTGACCTCATAAAAATAAATTGGGAAGTATTTTTTTCCTTTTCTATTTTCTGGAAGAGATTATGTGGGATTGGTGTTAATTCTTTTAAACATTTGGTAGAATCATGCACTGGAACTATCCGTGCCTAGAGATTTATTTGTCAGATTTCCAAAAAATATGAATTCAATTTTTTAATAGTTATAGGCCTATTTAAGTTACTTATTTCATATTGGATGAATTTTGGTAATGGCCCTTTTTAATGAATTGGTCCATTTCATCTAAATTATCAAATTTATGCATGCAGAGTAGTCAAATGTATTCATGTTCACAATATACCCTTATTGTTCTTTTAATATCTAAAAGGTCTATAGTGATACCCTGTTATTAGTAATTTGTACTTTCTCTCAATTTTTGATTTGTCAGTCTGCTAGATGTTTGTCAGTTGATTAATCTTTTAAAAGAACCAGCTTTTGTTTCACTGATTTTCTCTATTGTTTTTCTGTTCTTACCTTTATCTCTTTCCTTTTTCTTTCCTTGGATTTATTTCTTGTTTTTTTCCCCCCTAGTTTCTTAAAGTGAGAACTTATATTATTGATTGGAGGCCATTTCTTTTTTCTACTATAAGCTGTTAATGCTATAAACTTGCCTCTCAGCACTTAGTTGTATCTCACAATTTTTTTCCTTTTTTAAAGATTTATTTATTTATGCATACAACAGCTGAGTGTAGGCCAGAGGTGTGGGAGGTGGGGGAGATTGAGAAGACTCACCAGAGACAGAGTGGGGAGAGAACAGGTGGATTGAATGAAATACACTGCTGAGGGGAGCAACTGGCAGACAGGAGAGGTTGACTGCGCCATACCAGCTTCATAGTGCCAAGACTTAACTCCTTGCGCCACCAGAGAGGCCCTGTATCTCACAAATTTTAACAAGCTTTATTTTCATTTTCATTCAGACCAGTGCATTTTTTAAAAATTCCCTTGAGACTTTCTCTTTGGCCTAGAGATTATTTTAAAGTATGTTAAATTTCCCACTGTTCAGAAAGTTTTCTTTTATCTTTCTGTTTTTGACTTGTAGTTTGATTCCATTATGGTTAGAGAGCTCACTTTATG